CGCGGGGGGCCCAGGCGCACGCCAGGCTCAGGTGTCGCCGTCACTGCTCTGCTGACGTGGCGACACACAGCCAGGCAGTGCGTGCTGGACGGGCCGCCACTGTCCTCGCCGGGGCCGCCCTTCTGGGGGCCGTGGGGGGGCAACAGGACCCGTGGGCGAGGTGAGGGGTGGACACGGAGCCAGCCAGGACGCGGGGGGACGGAGCGTCCCCGTCGAGCCGCGGTCCGGAGGAAGGGCAGCGGGCGTCTCCACGCGCCCGCCCCTCGTGGCGCTGACAGATGCCGCTCGCGCCAGCCCGCCGCCCGCCCGCCGCGGCCCCTCCCTCCGGTGTCCGGGGAGTTTCTCCGGCGCTCCTTTCACGGGCGGAGACTTGTGGGCCTGGGACAGCGGCGAGCGGGCCGTCCCCGCGAGGAGACACCCGAGCCTCGTGGCCTGCCCGGGGCCCTTGGCCGGGGCCAGCTCCTGGAGGGGCGGGGCTGCCCAGGCGGCGCCCGGCGTCCAGGCAGCGGGGCAGCTGGGCCTCTCTTGTCCCTCACAGGCCGATGTGCTTTGTGAAGCAGCTCGAGATCCCGCACTACGGCTACAGAAACAGCGTGCCCACCGCCACGCCCCGCTCCAACCTGGCCAAGGAGCTGGAGAAATACTCCAAGACCTCGTTCGAGTACGGCGGCTTCGAGAGCCACACGTACGGCAAGCGGGCCATAGCCCCCAAGGTGCAGAGCAGGGACATAGCCCCCAAAGGATACGATGGTAGGAGGTGCACACTCTTCTGCGTGCCACGCTCGTCTGCCGTGAATGCTCGTGTCTTGTGTCGGGCCAGGGTGGGCGCGGGGCTCGCGCGGGCGGGGGCTGGGCGCCTGGCCCCGCCCCTTCCGGGGTGCCGGCCCCTCACACGGGGCGACCCTCTGGCCTGGAATGGCAGATGCAGAGAAGGCGGCCCGTGGCGGGGGGCTGGGGTCCCCGAATCACTCCCTGGGTGCATCCCGTCTGCATGCACAGCACAGCCCGAGCTCTCTGACACTGGATGGAGCCTGGACGCCCTGCGGGCGGCCGCCCCAGCCCGGGAGGGCCCGGGGAGAGGGAGGTCAGTGCTGGCCTGGGCCTCCGCTCTCCCCCGGGGGTGAGCCCCCTGCGCCCCTGGGTGAGCCCCCTGTGCCCCGGGTGAGCCCCCTGCGCCCCCCAGTACCCCCTGAGCAGAGTTCGGACCCGTGACTCAGTTGGGGGCTTTGCCGGCCAGGTGAGGACGCACCGGCTGCCCTCAGGGTCCTGCCTCGGCGTTCCCAGGTGGACGCCGCGAGGGGCGGGCCCGTAGGCCCAGCCGTCAGAAGCGTTTACTCTCCGCTCACGGGGCTGTGACACCCCACCTGGGGATGTCCGCACCCGACGCCCCGCCCAGACTGCACCCGCTGTGGCTCACGCCGCTCCTCGCCCAGTGCAGCTGGTGGCCGCCAGCTCTCCGGCGGCCGGACCTGCGGGTCTGGGGCTCAGCGGACAGCGGGCCGTGCCCTTTGCGCGATGGTTTACTTGGGGTGCAGTTTCTTTCATCCGACTGCAAGAAGGGGCCACAGCCACGAAGCTCTGCTTGGCAAGGCCGTGGGCGATGAGCGCCTGCTGGCCGGGGCTGGGCCGGGCTGGGGGCTGGGCCCGGGTTGGGGGCTGGGCTGGGGCCCCGGGCTTGGGGCTGGGGCTGGGCCAGGGCCGGGGCTGGGCTGGGGGCTGGCTGGGCTGGGGCCTGGGCCGGGGACTCCCAGGGCTGAAGCCGCCCGGTCTGTGGCTCTCTGCACCGGGCACAGCTGCTCTTCCCAGCTGCCCCAAGGGGCCTTGTGGGGTTGGGCCTCCCTGACTTCTTGGGTGCTGAGGGGCTGGCGGGCATGGAACGCCCCGGAGGGTGTCAGAGCCTGGGGCTGGCTCCTCAGTTGACTGCGTTGAGCGAGACTGAGGGGCTCCCCGGGCAAAAGCAGCCTCAGGGCTTCCAGAAGTGGGGGCATGGGTCACCCCAGGCCCAGCGTGGCCCTCTGGCTCCTGGCCACTCGGAGGTCCGGGCCCAGGCGAACGGCTTTCACGCTTTCTAGTAACTGGGAAACAGAAAAGGGTCCAGGGCCTGCGACGTGGAAATGACATGAGCTCGGCCCTCGGGGCCCGGGGCTCTGCCGGCCCCCGCTCCCTGGCCAGGGCCCCCCGCACCCACAGCCCCCCCTGCCTGTGCCCGCAGCCCTACCGACCGCCAGGTCTCCCCAACTCCAGGTGGTCAGGGGCTGCGGACACTGTCCGCCTAGCAGGCTGCCGCTAAGAGAGCGTTTCTGTGTCTGGTGGGGACGTCTGTGTCTGCAGGTCACTCTGGCCAGCCCAGAGGGCGCCGCCCCCCACCAGGGGTCACTGCTGGGCCTGAGCTGGGGCCTGGGCTCCAGGGGCCCTGGAGGGACCATGCCCCCCACACGGGTGTCCACAGCTGGTTCCCCTGTGCGATTTCCTTGGTTCTCACTGTGGGGACACAGCCATCAAGGGCCAGGGCCCACACGCAGGAGGCCAGCATGAGGCCAGTGATGAGCCTGGCACAGGAGGGGCTGGCGGCCGGCTCCGGAGCATTCTCCAGCAGGAACCGGACACTGGCAGGCCTGTGCCTGCCCGAGAGACGCGCTGGCCCCATGTCCAGGGGCGGGGTAGGGGCGGGAGGAGCGTGAGTATGAACGAAAGTGCCCTGGGTCCTGGCCACTGCTGCTCCGTCAGCGTCTAGGCGTGAGCCAGCAGGGCCGGCCATGCCGAGCGCCAGGGCCCCCAGGCGAGGCAGTGGGTGCCGCGCATTTAGGGCAAGGGCAGAAGGCCTGAGCGCTGACCCGCCACTGGCCAAGGAGGGCCGCCTGCCAGGCCTCCGAGCCCTGCCCCCGACCGGTGTCGCACTGACCCGCACCTGACTGACCCGCCGCACTGGGCGGCCCCCAGGACCGGCTGTGCCACGCTGGGGTGGGGGCCACGCTGGGGTCCCAGGGCCGGCAGAGGCCCAGCTGCCTGGCCAAGGAGCAGTCCAGGCCCCTCTGCCTCCTTTACTGAGTCACTCGGCGCCCAGCGAAACCCGAGTCCACCC